GGGTTTGTCCCAAAGAATCCCCTGGAAGGCACTGGATGCAAAGAGCTCCCGGGGAGCTCCTGACTCACACCAGAGCAGCTGGGATAATATTTTAGGAGGATTCCCAACCTGACTGATGTTGGGACTCGCAGCCTAAGGCAGGAGGAACCTTTGCTCCCGTCAAACGTGGGTTGGTTATGCAGATTTTAGCAATTCCGCGTCCATTTGCATGTGAATAGCGAAACGAGGGAATTGCCCCGGCGCCTCCGAATTCCACGTGGTGCTTCCAGACTTCCAGTCAGGTCGGGTGTCAGCTGGAGCCAACCGGGAGAAACACTATCTCTGCTTCCCAAGTTTTCCTCCCACTGGAGAATGCCTGCAGGGTGTCATCATGTCTGTCCTCTGCCTGCCTTCCCACAAAACCCGGGTCCTGCTCCGGCTGCTCTCCCTGCCTCTGCTCCCAACGCTCCTGTGGAATATTCTTCCTGACAAGGCCAGGTCCTCTGGGATTTCTGCCTGTCCAAAACGCTCCCAGCAGGAGCTGCTTGGGAAAGTTATTTTATTTGTCACCTCCTGTAACACAAGCAGGAACTTTGTTCCTGACAAGTGTCTCCATCTCTAAACATTTTAAGGTGATCCGGGGACCTCCAGCAGTGACTGCTCAGGGAATGTGATGGGGGGAAATACTGCCAGCTTTTATCACACTTCTTATTCTCTTTTTGAGAAAACTTCTGAGTGTGCCTTCCACAGCAGGGGAAAGAAGACAAGGAATATGAGAAAGGACTGTGGGAGGCCGTGGAGTTACTGGTAATATTCTGGGATTTCAGACACTCAGCTGAGTTGGTTTTAGTGTGTCTTGGAGCTGAAGCAATGAAAAGAACCAAAAGAAAAATACCTCCTAAATATGAAATGACAGTGGCTTTTATGGACAAAAACAGCAGCAGGAATGAAGTCCTGAGTTGAGCAGAGGGGAAAAATCTCAGTTAATGTTGCTGAAGGGGTGTGGGGGAAACAAATCTGGGATCTGGCAGTGGAAAATCAACCCTTAGCATTTTCTTTCTGGAAAAGCAAGGGATGAGAAGAACAGGAATCTCAGGATGTGACACCAGGGGAATAAGGAAGAAACCCAGGTATTAAAACTGTGTGTGGCATCAGAGGAATCTTTAATGAGCAGCACGGTGGCACGTGTCAAAATGGATGTTAAAATACTTCCTAGTTAATTTTTTTGCGGGAAGAACAATGACAGGAGGGATTTGAGATCTGCAGAACCTGCATGATTTGCTTTGCAGGGAGATGGTCAGGACGTGTCTTGCTCCGCACTTGTGAGATTTGGTGCCTGGGTGGTTTTCAATCCAGCAAAAGTTTTGTTATCCTGAGATTCCCCAGGATAATTCAGAACAAGCCTTGGAACTTCTCACAGTGAGAGTGGAGACACTGATAAGTACCCTGCAGCACATGGTTAAATGTGAGAGTTTTAGGCCTTGAAAGCCCTAAATCATCAAGAGTTTTCAGGGTAAATTCGTGCAGGCTTTTTTTAGCTGCCTCTGAACCGTGGCTGTCATCAGTTGACTGCTCATTTGCTTTGACATCCACGAGATTTTTAAGGCACAACCTGCAGGAGGAGTGGAAGGGATCCTGCAGGAGGAGTGGAAGGGATCCTGCAGGAGGAGTGGAAGGGATCCTGCAGGAGAGGTGGAACGGATCCTGCAGGAGTGGAACAGATCCTGCAGGGGTGGAAGGGATCCTGCAGGAGAAGTGGAAGGGATCCTGCAGGGGTGGAAGGGATCCTGCAGGGGTGGAAGGGATCCTGCAGGGATGGAAAGGATCCTGCAGGAGGAGTGAAAGGGATCCTGCAGGAGGAGTGGAAGGGATCCTGCAGGGGTGGAAGGGATCCTGCAGGAGTGGAAGGGATCCTGCAGGAGGAGTGAAAGGGATCCTGCAGGAGGAGTGGAAGGGATCCTGCAGGAGTGGAACAGTTCCTGCAGGAGTGGAAGGGATCCTGCAGGAGGAGTGGAACAGATCCTGGAGGAGAAGTGGAAGGGATCCTGCAGGAGAGGTGGAAAGGATCCTGCAGGAGAGGTGGAAGGGATCCTGCAGGAGTGGAAGGGATCGTGCAGGAGGAGTGGAAGGGATCGTGCAGGAGGAGTGGAAGGGATCGTGCAGGAGGAGTGGAACACATCCTGCAGGAGGAGTGGAAGGGATCCTGCTGGAGGAGTGAAAGGGATCCTGCAGGAGCAGTGGAAGGGATCCTGGAGGAGTGGAACAGTTCCTGCAGGAGTGGAAGGGATCCTGCAGGAGGAGTGGAACAGATCCTGGAGGAGAAGTGGAAAGGATCCTGCAGGAGAGGTGGAAAGGATCCTGCAGGAGAGGTGGAAGGGATCCTGCAGGAGTGGAAAGAATCCTGCAGGAGTGGAAGGGATCCTGCAGGAGGAGTGGAACAGATCCTGCAGGAGAGGTGGAAGGGATCGTGCAGGAGGAGTGAAAGGGATCCTGCAGGAGTGGAAGGGATCTTGCAGGAGGAGTAGAAGGGATCCTGCTGGAAGAGTGGAAGGGATCCTGCAGGAGTGGAAGGGATCCTGCGGGAGTGGAAGGGATCCTATGGGAGTGGAAGGGATCCTGCAGGAGGAGTGGAAGAGATTCTGCAGGAGGAGTGGAAAGGACCCTGCAGGAGTGGAAGGGATCCTGCTGGAAGAGTGGAAGGGATCCTGTGGGAGTGGAAGGGATCCAGCAGGAGGAGTGGAAGGGATCCTGTGGGAGTGGAAGGGATCCTGCAGGAGAGGTGGAAGGGATCGTGCAGGAGGAGTGGAAGGGATCGTGCAGGAGGAGTGGAATACATCCTGCAGGGTGAGGAGAGCCAGGCACGAGGAATGTGAGGAGTGACACAGAGAAAATGAGACAGGAACACAGCTCGTGGTGTCAGTGGGGAACAGGAGCAAGGGAAGAACCAAAACATAGCCCTGAACACCTTGGAGCCAGGGCAGGGAGCTGGAACTTGCTGAGGCAGGGAAGGAGCAGCATCCCTGGGATCCAGGGAGGTGAATCCTGACACTGTTCTGTGAATTCCTGGGGTAACTGGGGAGTGGGAGAAGGAGATTACAGTGATCCAGGCAAAATGGTGATTCGGGCCAGGATTAGCAGTTTTGTGGTCTGTGTGGAGAGCAGTTAATGGATAAATAAATGACCTGCTCTGTGTTCCTGGGAGCCAGCAATTTAGTGACTTTGTTTCTGGGATGGTCCCTGATCCTGTGTTGCCACAGAGTGAGATGTGAGCACAGTTCTGCTTTAATTCCCACTTTGGGCCTTGCAGTTCCTAGGGTCAGTGTCTGAGTGTAATCTTGCTGTTGGTTTCATATTTTAAGCTTATTAATTAATTTTATTTGTAAGAAAATGACCGAAGTGTTGCTGCTGCTCTGCACCACAGTCCCTGGAGAAGGAAACAGTTGTGTGAACACGGATTTGACAGTTCCATGAAGGATTCTCCCTTCTCTTGGACTTGAATAATACAAATTCAGGCATTGGCTCAGGATTATTTTACTGCTGGGCAGTTTTCCTTGGTGCATCAGCACGTGTGAAAAAGCCCATTTTTGGTGACGTGGTGAAGCCTCTTGGACTGGACATTGGGCCTTGATCTGAGCAGTGCCACTAACTCACCTTCTATATCCATGTCATGCTGTCCTCCCATTTTTTTTCTACTTGTAAAATGAAGATTTTATTTAATTACCTGTGGTCTTACGAGCAATAACAGAGAGTTTGATTGCTGAGGATGTGCTCAGTTGAGAAGCCCGAGCTGCAGATGGAAACCATGTGGATAATGAGAACATGTGGAAAGGAGTTTGTTTTGGGGCAGCCTGGTTTTCCAACAGGTTGTATTTGGTGTTCTCAGCAGCTTTTCCTCTGCCCCCACTAATCCTGGCAGCTGCTCTCCCAACCTGAGCCCGCTGCAGTTGCCTTGGTGCTCTCCAGGATCACCTTTCACACTCCTGATCCTTCCCCTTGTGTTCCAGAGCCACCCCAAATCCACCTCCTCCAGCTGCTTCCCTAATCTCTGTCTGGCCAGGAGGGCTGAGCTCCTTGAGACCTTTCTGTGAAACTCATTTTGGAGCTTATTGAAACCACTGAAATCTCTCTGCTCACAGTTGAGCCTCAGTGACTGTCTGGAGAGTGAGGGCAGAAATCAGGCTGGTTTGGTGCCTGGGGTGCACTTTTCAGCACATCAATGGTTTTTTAGACCTGTTTCTGACCTATTTCACTTAAAAATGATTAAGATATTTAAATGCTGAAGATCTTTAAACACTTTCTGCTTTGAATGCCTTTAACAAAAATATCCTTCCAGTACCTGAAGGGAGCCTGCAAGAAAGAAGAGGGAATTTTTACAGGGGCTTGGAGTGACAGGACAAGGGGGAATGGCTTCAAACTGCCAGAGGGCAGGGTTAGATGGGATATTGGGAAGGAATCCCTTCCCTGGGAGGGTGGGGAGGCCCTGGCACAGGCTGCCCAGAGAAGCTGTGGCTGCCCCTGGATCCCTGGAAATGTCCAAGGCTTTGTGTGTGTGTGTTCAGGAGTTTGTGGCTTGTTTTTAAACCAATGCCCACGTGGGTTAAGCTCAACTTTCCTGGTGGCTCAGATGATTAAAATCAGAATATCTCTGGGGTTTGGATGCTTTCTCATGGGGTTCATTCATGTCCTTCCTTAGATGCAGCTCATCCAGTGGGTCCAGACCAAGAGTAGCTGGGCTTTGGTTATAAATGGAAAAATTACTTTGATGATCAATATTAAAGTCCTTAACTGTTGTTTGAAGTGTCCTGTGGATGAATTGGAAATTATATTATAATATTCCCACACTTTTGATTTTTCACTTATCATTTAAAAGTGTTTTAAAGATAAGTTGTGGTTTTGAAGTAGGTGACCAGCGGGGTTGGTGTCTTGGAGCATCAGCTCTTCTGAAATGTAATTGTTTGCTTTCTGATCGGTTTAAACCTTAATTTAATTTCTGCTAGGAAATCAAAGTTTACTTCTGTCTGCCTTTTCCCTCCTCGCAGAGTGAAAGATGCTGACTGCCAGTAGTGGAACAGCTCCTCTGAGGAACATATCCCTGTAAAACCTTCCCTAAAAATCACCCGGAGGCAAATATTCCGCCTGTGATGGACCCTCGGAATACTGCTATGTTAGGCTTGGCTTCTGATTCTGAAGGGTTTTCTGGGAAAAGCCCCTCTGTGGCAAACCTTGGCACGTTGGTGGGCAAGGGAGAAGCGGAGCCCGAAGGTTGCAGCAAGGACGAGGAGGACGGGAAGAAGAAGAGCCGGGAGGGGCCCAGCGGCGACAATGGGAAGAGCGAGGCCCTGAGCGAGGCCCAGCAGCAGTTCTCCGTCAAGGAAACCAACTTCTCCGAGGGGAACCTGAAGCTGAAGATCGGCCTTCAAGCCAAGAGGACCAAAAAGCCTCCCAAGAACCTCGAGAATTATGTCTGCAGGCCTGCCATAAAAACCAGCATCAAGCAGCCAAGGAGGGCTCCCAAGAGCGGGAAGATGACGGATGAGAAGAGCGAGCACTGTCCTCCCAAACAAGTGAGTGGGGTGTCCGTGGGGTGGTTTGCAGGTCGTGGTGCATTTGGGCTGTGTTGGAAAGGTTCACCATCTCTGCACCATCGTGTTGTTCCATGGGACCTCTGATCCTGAAGCTTCTGGAGTTAGAAATGGTTTGATTTCGTGGCTGTTGACGGGGGGAAGGTGCTCGATCACGGTTTGACACTGTCGTCGTTTCAACAGCAGTGAAAGATAATTCCCATGTAAGCTTGAAGTGGTAAATCTCTGACAAGTGATGGTGTGATTTTTAGTCTCTTTTACAGAAGAAAGTGGAGGGTCCTTGGGGGTCTTTCTCTGTTGAGATGGGGTTTGGGTTCATATTTTCCTGTTAAGAGTCAATGGGTTTCCTGTCTCTCACCTGTCACTGCCACAAACAGCCCAAGCAGGGACTGAAAAGCAGAGGAGACTTTTCCAGCTGAGTTACAAACCAGCCTGGGGATAACATGGCTATAAATGGAGTGGCTGGAGGGATGTGCCAGGGGTTTTCCAAAGGGAAGGAGGTAGCCCTGCCTCCTTTTTGTTTGTGTGATCTGCAGGATGTAACAAGTAACAGCAGCAACAGCAGATGGGGAGAACGGGATAAATGGCAAGAATTACAAATAATGCTAAATTTTGGAAGTGTTGGGCTACAACCTGCTCTTTTTGCCAATACACATGAAAGTTTTGCCAATACAGTGTTAGGATGTACTCTTAGGTAGCCCTAGCAGGTGATTCAGCAGGGGAATCCAGCAAATCCATGGAAGCTGGAGGCCTTCCTTGGTGTGGGATGTCTGTTCCACGGGGCCCCAGGGTTTCCATCTCTCCCACCTGTGTCCTGTGCTCAAGACTTGATCTCTAAGGTCCCTTTCAGCCCAACCCATTCTGGGATTCCAGGATTCCAAGGCATAAATTGTGTCCTGAAAAGACAAGTGTGCTGGATGTAAGGACTGAACTGACTTTTTCCACACTCCACAGTGTTGGGTTTTCCCTCCTTGGGAATCAGAGGGGTTTTTCCTCAGCCTGCAGACCAAGAAATTCTCAAAATTTATGTTGCATAACATAAAATGTTGGCAATGGCCTTTATTTCACATTCTTCCAGCTCAGAACAAGCTCATTATTCCTAAGGATTTTTCTGACTTCCTCTTGAAAAACAGTGGAGGAGCAGATCCCAATTTGTCATTATACTGATGGCTTTTCTTTTTTTCCGTTTTCTTCTGCTTTTTTTGTCCCTGTTGAGGGGAGTTGAGTGTTTGGCCAGCCTGGAATATCCAGCCTGGAATATTCCTCTTGATGCCTGACTTCAGGTGGCACTTGCAGCTGCAAATCCCTTCCTCAGGGCAGGTTTAAGGTGAATTAGTCAGGGGAGGGTCAGGTTGTTGGGGTGTCCTGTTCAAGGCCAGCAGTTGGACTGGATGATCCTTGTGGGTCCCTTCCAGCTCAGGATATTCCATGATCCTCTGGTTCTCCCAGCAAAGAGCTCCATTGCATCTGGAGAGTTTTTACCAGGGGAAATAATCAGGATTTGGATTTGGATGGGGACAGGAAGGATTCTTCCCTCTCGACATCTTTGTTTCTATACCAGGTTTTCCTTCAGGAGGTCCATCCCATTTCAAGTGGAAATCAGAAAGGGAAGCAAATATTAGTGATATTAAATATATGTATGTCTGTATTTTATATATACATATGTATATATGTGTTTTATATATATATAATATGTATATATGTATTTTATATATGTGTGTATTTTATATATATATAATAAGTATATGTGTATTTTATATATATATAAATAAGTATATGTGTATTTTATATATATATATAATAAGTATATATGTATTTTATACATATAAAGTTAGTATATATGTATTTTATATATAATACATATATTATAAACATTTTATAATACATATACATTATATAATATATTATACATATATTATACCACATATATTATACCACATATATTATATGTATTATATATAATACAGATATTATTATATTATGTATCTGATATAATAATATATAATATATATTATAATACATTAGTGATATTATTGATATATGACACCATTGATACCACCAGAGGTTGTTAGAAATGACACTAAACAGTGTCCTGCTGATTCCTCAAAAGGGACTGGAAGTGTCTGTGTGGAAATAAATGGCTTAAAATATTCCTGTTTTGAATATAATACCCCAGGGATTTTTTTTTGTCTTATTGCCATGAAATAAAGCAAGTTTTAGCTCTGAAAATTACCCTTCAGCAGAGGGAAGTGATCCCTAAATCTCTGCTTTCCATGGAGAGGAGGGGAAAGCAAAGAAATGAGCAGCTCAGAGCCAGGTGTGGCCTCGCCTGGAGCTCTGACACTGAACTTCCCGTTCTTTTTAAGGAGGAATAAGGGATTTGAATGAAAATGCAGCACTTGCAGTGCACTCAGTGAAGCACTGAGACACAAAGAGGAGCAGTGGAATTCTTCTCCTGGGAATACCAGTGCAGAAATTAAACCAGGAGGAAAATCCTTTGCACTTGCACATCTGACAGGCTTTTTTCTCCAGCTTGATGCTGACAGGGCTGGTGGAACTTGGGGAGTGTCTTCAGTTGTAAAAATAGAGGGTTTGTCTGCTTGCTGTGAGCAAGGGGAGTCACTTGGAATCCCAGAATCCCTCAGGTTGGAAAAGCCCTCTGGGATCATGGAATCCAACCCTTCTGTTCCCAGCTAAACCCTGTCCCCAAGTGTCACCTGGGTGATGGGGATTCCTCCTCTTCCCTGTTCCAGTGCCCAACCACCCTTTCAATGAGGGGAATTTTTCCCTGTGAATCTACAATTTGTCCTCCAGAAACGTGTGGACATACAAGTTAATAAATAATAATAATAAATAAATTTTTTTCCTCACAGAAGAGAAAAGAGAGACTTAAAAAAGGCTGAGATTCCCAGGTGTAAAGAGGGACAAAATTAGGAGGTGCTGCAAGAGCCAAGCAGTGTTTAATTTGCTTTTTTGACACTGAGGATGGAACTTGGATTTCTTCCTTTCAGGAAGTGTCCCGTGGCAGGCAGACATTAAGCCTTGAACATAAATACACAAAAATACACATTTTTGGCCCTGTTAGGGGACAAACCCGTGTTTTCCCCGTGCTGGAAGGTGAGTGTAGGCAGGGTCACTGCAAAGGGGCAGTGGTGAAGGTGTAGCAAACAGCAAGAGGTGATAGTAGCAGCCTGTGTAACTCTAACTCAGAGTAGTAACACGGGGCAGCAGGTTGGGACTCGCCCTCCTGCTCCAGCTCCTTATTTCTGGGTGAAAACTGCTGAGTGCAGGATTCTGGAGCTCCCTCTCTTGCCCTGGGTCGTGCAGGGGAGTTTGCTGATGAAATCACAGCCACTCAAAGGTAACAAAGCTAAAGGAGTGATTTCTTTTTTTAGTAGCTTGAGAATATTTCCTGCAGCATCTGGGATGTAAGTTTGTCTTGTTTTTTCTCCTGGTCCTTCGTTCAAACTTGCTCTTAGAAAAGCCTGCAAAGTCTCAGCGGTGAAAAACAAACAGCAGACACTTCCAGTGGTTATTATTTGGGGAATTCTGTGGGATGTATTGATGCCACAGCTCCTGTGATTCCTCAGAAAGCTCGTTGGAACTGTGGCCCAAACACTGGCCTGAAGTGCAGCAGCTCAAACAACGATGGGGAGATCTGTGTGTGCACATAAAAACCCCTTTATTGCTCCATGGGGGTTCTCAAGAGAAATAACAAACAGCAGTTTCATTGACAAGCTGGTTCCTTTCTGGCTGTTCCAGAGGGTGGAAACCGAGAGGATCTCGGGGTTTGCACTTTGGTTTTAGGGTGAAGAGTGTGAGTTTGACACCAGGCTGGAGAGGAGACACCCCTGGCCTTGGGAAAGATCATTTCCTCCTCAGCCTTTTGCACAGAAGTACCAATCATCATCACAGTGAATAATGATCTAGTAATAATAAACCCTGGGATTGTGCTCTAACAACAGATGCTTTTTTTAGAATAAAGTCATTTTTTGTGCTGTTGGTGCCTGTGGTGACTCTGGAATCACAGAATCATTGGGGCTGGAAAGGAGCTTTAAGACCATCAAGTCCAACTGTTCTCCCAGCACTGCCAAGGCCACCAGTGATGGATTGTAGCTCATTAACAGTTTATATCAAAACTACCTGGAATTTTTATTCCTGAAATGAGTGGTGCAAGTCTAGAAACCGTGTGTCCACACGGGAGAGTTGGAATTTTCAGTTCAGCTCAGTCCCAAATTTAGAATAATACCAGTTTGATGGAAACTTCCAGGTTTTGTGCAGTTGTTTTGGGCAGCACTTTTAAGGCAGACAGTTGAACTGAAGGT